AGTGAGATTTAGCCCTGAGATACAAGGATGGTTCAATATACACAAATCAATAAATATATCATGTTCACAGAATGAGGAAAAAAATATCTAATCATCTCAAAAGACATAGAAATAGCTTTTGACAAGCTTTAACATCCATTCATGATTAAAAAAAAAAACTCTAAACAAATTAGGTATAGAAAGAACATACTCAATAAGTAAAGGGCATATCTTCATGAAAGCCTACAGGAAGTCCTAGCTAGGGCAATCAGGCAAAAGAAATCGAAGGCATCAATACTGAAAAGAAGTAAAACTGGCTTTCTTTGTAGATGACATGATTTGATATATAAAAACTCCTGAAGACTCAACCAAACTACTGTTACACCTAATCAATGAATTTAGCAAGCGTGTAGTATACAAAATTAACACACAAAATCAGTAGTATTTCTATATACTGACAACAAACATTCTGAAAAAAAATAAATTGATCCCATTTACAACAGCATCAAAAACAATAAAATACTTAGGAATAAATCTAACTAAGGAGATGAAAAATATCTGCTCTAAAACCTGCAAAACAATGTAGAAAGAAATAAAAGAAGGCACAAATAAATGTAAAGGTATCCCATGTTCATGGACTGAAAGAATTTTTATTAAAATGTCCATACCACCTAGAGCTATCTATAGATTCAGTGTAATCCCTATCAGGATTCCAATGATATTTTTTTTTTTACAGAAGTAAAAAATACCATAAAATATATATGGAACCAGAAAAGACCCCAGAGCCAAATGATCCTGAAAAAGAACAAAGTGGGAGGTATCAAACACCCTGATTTCAAGCTGTATTATAAATCTATAGTAATTGTATAAAGCTATAATAATCAAAACAGTATGGTACTGACATAAAAACAGATACATAGATCATGGAAAAGAATCAAAGGCCTAGAAATAAATGATGCATATACAGTTAACTGATATTTGAGAAGGGAGCCAAGATCACCTAGTAGAGATGTTCTTTTCAGTCAATGGTGCTGAGAAAACTGGATATTCACATGTTAAAGAATAAAACTAGACCCCTATCTGACATTACTCAAAAAGGATTAAAGACTTAAATGTAAGACAAGAAGCTCCTAGAAGGAAACATAGGGAAAAGGTTTCTTGACATGGGCCTTGGCAATGATTTTTTAGGCAGGACACGTACACACAAGAGACAAAATTAAGAGTACATGAGTGTAACTACACCAAACTAAAACACTTTTTTTAAAAATTTTACTTAGTGTTTTATTTATTTATGAGAAAGAGAGAGACAGCATGAGCAGGGGAAGGTAGAAGAGAGAGGGAGACACAGAATCTGAAACAGGCTCCAGGCTCTGAGCTGTCAGCACAGAGCCCAACATGGGGCTTGAACACATGAACCGTGAGATCATGACCTGAGCTGAAGTTGGATGTTTAACCGACTGAGCCACCCAGGCGTCCCTAAACTAAAACACTTCTTTGCAGCATAGAAAACAATCAACAGAATGAAAAGACAACATACAGAAGGGGAAAAAATACTGGCAAACTATATATCTGCTAAGAGGTTAATCCCCAAAACATATAAAGCATTTATACAACTCAGAAGCAAAAAAAATCAAATAATCCAATTAAAATATGGGCAAAGAACTTGAACAGACATTTTTCCAAAGAAGATAAACAAATTGCCAGCAGATAAAAAGGTGCTCAATGTCACTAACCAGTGGAGAAATACAAATCAAAGTCGCAGTAGATGACATCTTACACCTTTTAGGAATGGTTATCACTGAAAAAGGTAAGAGATAACAAAGACTAATTCATGTGTAGAAAGCGGGAATGTAAATTGGTGCAGCTACTATGGAAAACACTATGGAGGTCCCTGAAAAAAATTAAAAATAGAACTGCCATATATTAATCAATTCTGCTTCTGTGTATATATCCAAAGAAAATGCAAACACTATGTTGAAGAGATATCTACATCCCTTTGTTCATAGCAGCAATTATTTAGAGTCAGCAAGACAGGGAAGCAACCTAAGTGTCCACTGGTAGATAAATGGACAGAGAAGATGTGGTATATATACACAATGGACTATTACTCAGCCATAAAAAAGAAAATCCTGCCATTTGTGACAACATGGATGGATCTTGAGGACATGAGGCTTGGTTAAATTAGAGAAACACTGTGTGATCTCATTTATTTGTGAAATCTAAAAAAACAAAAACAAATCAAACTCACAGAAAGAGAAGTCAGATTTGAGGTTGCCAAGGGAGGGGGAATTGGATGAAGATGCTCAAAAGGTAGAAACTTCCAGCTATAAGATCACTGAAGTCCTGGGGATGTAATGTACAACAGGTGGACTTCAACTAACACTGCTGCATGGTCTATTTGAAAGTTAAGAGAGTAAGTACTGAGCTCTCACCACAAGGAGGAAACTTTTTTTTAACTGATATGAAATGACAGATGTTAAATTATGGTGGTAATCATTTCACAATATATGTAAGTCAAACCATGACGCTGCACACTTTAAACTTACACAGTGCTGCATATCAATTATATGTAAATAAAACTGGCAATAAAAAGTACCTTTTGAGCTGTGGAGAAAATGTTAATTAGGGTACCAAGTAACCAAAAAGAGTATATGGAAAAACATGTGAAAAATTCACTTTAGTGACAAAGAAAATAAAACCTACCCTGAGATTTTATACTACGCTTGAATTTAAATATATGTTACTTTCTGGATGGTGTAAGATATGCATTTCATTTTGAAAACAATGTTTTCTGATTACAAAAGTATACATGATCACTATAGAAAATTAAAGTACAGAGTATTTAAAATTAAAAAAAATAATAGGTGATGGGGACTAAAGAGTCCAGTTACCATGATGAGCACTGAGTAATACACAGAACTGCTGAATCACCTCCCTGAAACTAATATAACACTGTATGTTAATTGTACTGAATTAAAATTTAAAAAGCTCAATAAAAATAAAAAACAACAACAACCCTTATTTTGAGAGTGCATTTGAGAGAGAGTAGGGGGGAGGTGGAGAGAGAGAAGGAGAGGGAGACTCCCGAGCAGATCTTGCAGCTTCAGCACAGAGCCCAACATGGGGCTCAATCCCACGAACAAAGAGATCATGACCCGAGCTGAAATCAAGAGTTGGATGTTTCACCGACGGAGCCACCCAGGTGCCCCAAAATACAAACATTTTTAAAAAATAAAATTAAAGAAATAATCTTAACCTGCCACAGAGAGATAATTTATCAGCCATAAAATTTTGTTCCATTTCCATTTTTCTGCACAAACCTACTATAAACACAGTTTCCTTTTTATACAACTAGGACCGTATAGGGTTTAAATTTTACTTTTTTACTGAACTGGATATGGTACCACCCTCTGCCCTTAGATACTGTTCCATATGTTTTAATGTCTTCAGAAAAGTCTGTCATGGGGATGCATGGGGTGGAGGGCGGGGGTATTTGCATTACCCCCCGTTTCCACTCTAAAGAGTTGTAAGGGCAATTATCAAACATAGCTCTTGTGAGCATCTCTGATAGTGTTCTCAGGATAAATTGCTGGAAATAAAAATTCTGGGTCTGAGTACACAATTTTGCAGTTTTACTATACATGCTGTCAAACTGCTACCACCTCTCTGGAGAGAAATTTATACTCCCAATAGCAGTGTCTAAGAGCGTTTGGCCCACTTTACTCCCCACCACTAACTACTGCCTTAAAAAAATATTTGCACATTTCTCATTGTTACACATTTTTATTTTTGGTTTGATTTGTATTTTTTTGATTACTAGTGAGTTAGGACATTTTTTCATGTTCCTCAGAGAGTTCTTCTCTCTGTGAATTTATGTGTATTGCCCACATTTCTATTGAGAGTGTTCATCTTTTAAAGAAATCTTAAGGGCATACTGTGGTATTTTTTACTAATGCTCTGTTGCCAGTTCACCTTTAGACAGAAGTCTTTCTAATCAACAACGGCACAGGCATGGTTTTTCCTTCTGCAATAGGAACTAAGACATCAATTTAAGAAATTCAGGCCACGGCAAAGATTGCACGTGGAAAACTTAAGTCAGCCTTAACCCCCAAACAAGTGAGGAGACCTGGGGATTCCTCGGCCCACGGGAATGTTCTATTGGGACCTTTTCCAGAAACAGTACCTGTGATCAGTGGTCTTGCTGATTTAAATGCAAAGCCCATCTCCCAAGTAACTCAGGATTTGTTGTTGTTGTTGTGTTTTGATTCTGGCCTTTCCCACCTTCTGGTGGCCCTGGTCTCGGGGGCTCCCGCTGTGAAACTGAGGACACAGAGGTAGAGACGATGCAATCTCCGTGAGACTGTTTAGCCTTCACGCTCTTTTTGTTCAAAGGCACTGGTTGTTGGCAGACCTTTCAGCACAGGATCCTGCGCCTGGGTTTATTTTCACTTGCATCCACATGACTGCTGGTGGGAACGAAGCTGCCTATCACAGATGCTAAACAATCAGTTGTTGAATGATTTTGCTGCTGCGGTTTCGGGGGAGGGGGCCATTTACACAACTTCAGTGACACCATGGAAGCGACGCGGAAGAATGCTCTGATTGAGCAGATTTTTTGCAGCGACGAGAAACATCCTGGAGTTTTTCTCTCCCTGTTTCACAACGTTTGTCTACCAGCCACTGGCAGAAGTCGCCGTTTCTTCAGCTAAGAAGTGCAGCTTTCCAAAATCCTTTGGCAGAGTCTCCCCGAGACTTTTCTGCTCCATCCTGATTTAGAGACAGTCTTCAAAGGAAACACACACACACACACACACACACACACACACTCCCCAACCAACCAACCTGACAAATCGATGTGAGAAGACACCAACTCTGATGTAATTTTGATATTTCTTTCCCACAAAGTTTCAGAGTTTATCATCTACAACCGATTCAATCTGACGGCATCGTTTGAGGGGAGAAGGTAAACAAAAACGTGTGTACCCCCAGATCGGACCATTCTTTATTCAAGAGGCACCATGTGATACAAATTCGAGACTTTATTAAAAATTACTTGTAAGTTAACATAATACCTCGATGGGTAAGGAAAGCTTTTCACAAAGCGAAATAATGAGTTCTGTGAATAAACAGAGGAGCGAGCCGTGTTAGCGGTGACATTTAAGTGATCGCATGATTTTTTAATTATTCTTTTGAGAACACACACCTTAGTGAACCTCTATTCAAGGAGCTGCGGTCTGTGCCTCCTATGGAATTTGCAGTTGAATTAGAGCTTTGTTTCCTGCCTTTGGCAGTTTTTAGGGAACAAATGGAAATGATTTTAAGAACCCATAAAAACCTACCACCTACCTAAAGCATTTAAAAGGTGAAGTGATAAGTGTTAGAAATGGGGAGTGGAAAGGCTACACACTCACTGTATTTATTGGTGGGAAACAGTAACGCGAAACAGAAGTAATAATAAGGAAGAGGAGTAATGAGAAGTCCAGCCCATGCCAACCCTTTATTTGTTCTTGGCTGTCTGAGGTTTCCGGCTGATCTTTTTCGATTTGTCATTATTTTTCTTCGGCGGTTCTGGGTTCGCCTGCATGTGCCTGCCGTAGAGGCTGAAAAGAGAGAGGAAGACACGTGAGATCCACCTTGCTAACACAGGAGAAGCTTTTCCTGTTAGGGCTTTGAAGAACAGAGTAATCTCAAGGAATATTCAGGAAGCCAAAGAAAACTAAAATGTCCCTTCTGCTGTCTCCGGGTCATACCTTTTGTTTAGGGACTTGAAATTCGCTTCCACACGTGCGCATGCATGCGCAGTGCACGGTGAGGGCAGCTCTGGACAAGTGTCCTGGAATTTCACGTTCGCTGGATCGTGTGACAACAGCAAAGGCAGAAGGGTCTGGGGCTGTGAGAACGGGGAACACTCAACCCAGCTGCTCCAGAATGAAGCTCTAACGGCTGTGAGCATTTAAGTCGACAATGACAAAAACTGGGTCGAACTGAAGAGACAGAGTGTCCATTTAGTGAAAAGTGAGCATCACGCCAGCTGGAAAGCCCAGGGGCCGGATAATGTGACAGAGAGCAATGGTGTCCGAGCGCGCTCAGGCTGCTCACACATGATTGATGGTGCTGGGACGACGACCACACATCAATGCCGCGTTAATAAGTACCGTTGATTAAATGTTGACAAAGTACCCTACAATTACAGCGGATGGCATTCATCCCAGAGCAAAGCTAGCTTGTGGCGGAGAGGATGGAACCAAACGGCAGATAATAATTAATCGATAATTTATGGGTAATTCTGATTAAACAAAATTAAAAGCCACCCTAAAATAAATACAGCTCAACCTTAACTCCCCTTATTCATATAACCGTGTCCCGGGGAGAACCTGGTACATGGCTCAGTTCTTCCGGGGAAAGGCAATGCCTGATCTGCTTGTTGTGATGGTCTTGTGCCAGCTGAATGGGGCAGGGACGGCGCAAGGAGTGACCGCTCTGTACAGGGCGTCCCTCGTTCTAAAGTCCACTCACGGCTGCGACACCTCTCTTGAAGCTCACATCTTGCCAGGCGAACTGGTAGCAAGTACCAGAGCTGGCCAAGTGACGGAGTAGTTACAGTTGACAGGTGATAGTGTGGTCTATCTTCTCCAGAAGCTTCCAAATGTCTCCCTAGAAGTGCTACAAGCAGGTCCCACCAGCAGTGGCCGTGATGACAGGTCTCTGCTCCCAAGGAGTTCAGAGCGCGGGGTCTGGAGCTGGGAGCACGGATCTATGGGCAGAGGATGTATGTCCTGCCAGGTCCTGGAATGTTCTCCAGGTAAAGTGGGGAGCAGGGAGGGGGGGGGCATTAACCACATGCCTCTCAGCCAGGTAACATTACAACCTGCAAGCTCGCTTTCATCTTGTGTAGAAACGAGCTCAAGAGACTTTCTGCTCCTCTCACGGAGAGGCCCAGTCCTGCCCAGACTGAGAGCGGGCCGCCCTGTGTCCCTACAGGAGAAAGCTCTTCTTCCCCAGGACAGCCTGTCCTCTGGGAAAGTGGATCTTTTTAAAATCCATGTAAGTCCCTCCCCCCGCTGATGTTCCTCACTTTAAAAAGGGCCACTGATGCCCCTGAAGCTTATGTCACGACATCCAGCCGTCCTGGAGCCCAGGGAAGGAACCGCTGGTTTCAGGAGACAGGAAGCTTCCGCTCAGGTGTCCTGGTGTCACCTGTCCCAATCCCTGGGACTTGCGGCTACCACCGTACACAGACACAGGGGCTCTGCGGAGGCGAGTAAGGATCTCGGAGATGGCAGGACTGTCCTCTGCTGTCTGCGGACCCCCTTCCATCAGCCCTGCAGCAACTCTCCCACGACACGCCCCAAACAGGTTAAATAAGTAGCCATGGAAGCCTCATCCACGACAGCCCTCAGCTTTGGCGACACGCACCCTGAAACATACTGTTTCCTCTAACTGCCCCACCTAACCCCTCGTCCCACGACGCAGCTCTCTTCGCGATAACACAGCAGTAGGCTGTGTGGTGTGCCCGGGGGCACCTCTGCTGTCCAAGCTCCTCTCACCACGCATACGGCAAAGGTCTGACTCTGGTCTGTGCATTGGGAGCTTCCCTCCAGGAAGCTCCAGGCTCTCTCCTCGGGTTTGCAAACCCTTATCCCCATAAGGCACACGGGATGCATGTGCTTACTCACAGACGGCATTACACTTTAAGGCTTACAAAAATCTGCAGAGACACAGTTCAGGAACTGGGAGATCCGGCAACAGCGACACAAATAAGAGGTCAGAGGATGGAAAAGAGAAGGTCTGATAAGGGGCTACGTGTCACAGCCTGAAGAAGAGCCCAGGTGGGCACGGAAGGGCTCCTGGCAGAGGGGGCAGGGGTTTCGCTGGGCCTGATGGTGGTAATCCAGCAAAGTCATTTCAGAAGGGGGTGCAAAAGCTGTTTGGAACTCAGCAAGGCTCCTCTTGTTAGGAAGGAACTAGAACGTTCCAATGTTTCAATGTCTGCCTTTTTATATTCAGACCCCACTGTGCCTGGACCTCCTGGGGCGACACGGCAAGTCTCTACATAGGGCCAGATCAGAGAGAGCATTCCTGAACTTGATGTTTAAATCTTTCTTTTGCAACTTACTAGCTGTAGACTCTGGGCAAATGATTAGCATCCCCCTCTCCCCTACATCCCTTCCTGTGCCTCAGTTTCTGCATCTGTAAAAAACCCATGCCGTTTTCTTGGCAAGGAGGCTGCACTGGTTAAATAAGCCCAGTGGCTGGTGTCTACTGGAAGGGGTCAGTGGATGCTTCTGATGTGGGGTTATAGTGGGAGGGATTAAATAATTATACGATTACTTCTTTAGGACTCTGTGCTCTGAAAAAAATAACATGGTGTCTTCTATCATTGCCAAAACCTAGCATCTCTGGGAGAGAGGTTTTATTCTTCTTTGAAGAAAATAACTAAGGCAGAGTTAAATGCACCTCCCCCCTACTTCCTCGGTGAGTCACTGGCAGAGCCGGGATGACGCTGTGTCATTCCTCCAGCTGTGTGGGCAGATGAGAGAGGTGATTTACTAAGTGGCCATTCCCACGTGGATACCTCCCTGGGGCGGGGTGGTAATGACAAGCATTTTTGGGTCCTAAGCCTGGGGGTCCATTCCTGGCTCTACAAGTGTGGGTTAGCCATGGGGCTTCCGTTTAGTAAGCAAGTGTGCGAGGCAGAACAATGGTCCCCACAACAGTGACATTATGATCCCTGACACCTATATCATAAAGGGACTCTGTAGAAGTGGTTAATTAAGGCTCTGGAGCTGGGAAGCCTACCCTGAATTTTCTAGGTGGGCTTGGTGTAATCACAAGGGTCTTTAGAAGAGGGAGGCCGGGAGGTCAGAGTCAGGGAGATCTGAACGTGGTGCATTGATGGCTTTAAAGATGGAGGAAAGGTGCTACCAGCAAGAAATGCAGGCAGTTTCTAGAGACTAGAAAGGTGAGGAAATGCATTCTCCCCCGGATCCTCCAAAAGGAAGCTACCCTGTGGACACCGTGATTTCAGACTTCTGACCTTCAGAACCATAGTATGATATATTTGTTTTGTTTTCAGCCACCAAATTCATGGTGCTTTGTTACAACAACAGTGAAGCAACACAGTAAATGAACCTCTCAGAGCATGATGGGACAGCCTGGAAGTGAGGAGTCAGCTTACCTTCAGCAGAGGAATAATGGGAGACTTTCTGGGATAGCAGGTCATTGGAAAGAAGGAAAAGTTACAAAGCTGTTTCAAAAAGGACAAAGGGTGCCCCCAAACAAAAATGGGTGCTGTTTCTACCAGAAAAAAAAGGGAGGAGGCAGGAAAAGTGCTCTCTCTCTACTGCAGAAGGACTGGATGGTCCCGGGCCCTTCTGTTCTCTGAAGCTATTGCTCTGGCCCATGTTTTGAATGTGCCCGGGATTTAACATCTACAGGTGACTGAGTGAGGCATGGAGAGGCCGGTGCCTGTGAAGCAAGTTTCCCAAGAGGAGGGTGCATGCCACACCACACGAGGCCACGAGAGGAAGAACCAGATTGGTTAGGAGGGAGAAGGAACAAAGCAGGGAGCGGGACCCAAGTACTTCACGGTGGTCTCATGGGAAGGAATGGGTGGGCATGAGTGGATTTAGGATTGGACAGCTTGAACAGTTTCCAGGGGCTCAAGGCTACCAGGGTGGCTTCCAGTTACATGGGAGCCGGCTCTGGGGTGATTCAGGGCAGGGCAAATATGGGCTTGGGGTGTCAGTAGGATACAGGAGGTAGTTAGGTGTTGGCTTTGGATTGGTGGGCTAGCACACCAAAGGCAAACTAGCGGATCAAGTGGTTGCTATCTCTAGGAATTAAGCTAGCCCTGGAAAGGGCAATCTCTCTCCAGCCAGCAAGACCTCCAAGATGTCAAAACATCATAAAAGACAGAAAACAAACAACATGACTAATGCAGTTACAGCCTTCAGGATGGCTTCTGTCTTCCTGACCCTGTAGCTTCCTCTCCTGACACACTCACTCAGTTTCTGTGAAGACGGCTTCTCTTGTCCCCCTCCCCCCTGGTAAGTTCCACGGCCTCCACCTGGGAAATTCCCAACCACCCCTCAGACCGAGGTGCAAGGCACCTCCCAAGCCGGCATGTCTCCCTCGGGCTCGGGTCAGGTGGTGCCTGTCCTGCCCCATGGTACCCTGCCCTGGGGACCCGCAGGAAACAGTCCAGGGGGTTCACTCGCCTGTGCATTCTGGCACCCTGCTCGCCTTCAAGGACGTGTGACCTTGGCAAAGTGTCTAACTTGACACAGTCGAAGTCCTCATCTGCAAAATGAGGATGAAAAGGTGCAGCTACCCTGGAGGGCTTGGGGGATGATTAAATCAGACACAAAGCAGGTCTGGTCTGTGCAGCTGCTTAGCAGATGGTCCAGAAAGGCAGCTGCCACCTTTCACCTCTCATGAGAGGCCCAAGACTCAGGCGAAGCTAGCCAGCCCCTTCCACTTGAGATGCTGCTTCAGGGCACAAAGCAGAGCCAGGAATGGGGCCCTGCCAATTTGATCGTGGTGACCAAAGGAGCCTGGCTCAAGGTCACCAACAGGGCAGCAGCCACAGGTGGATGAA